GCGAGGTCAGGTCCAGGTTCTGCGGGACCAGAATTCCATGGGAAACAACACCCGGAATTCCGGGAAAAACACCCCAAAATCCAGGAGAAACACCCGGAATTCCATGGGAAACACCCAAAATCCAGGGAAAACACCCCAAAATCCAGGGGAAACACCCGGAATTCCAGGGAAAACACCCAAAATCCAGGGAAAACACCCAAAATCCAGGGGAAACACCCAAAATCCAGGAGAAACACCCGGAATTCCAGGGGAAACACCCCAAATCCAGGGAAAACACCCAAAATCCAGGGAAAACACCCGGAATTCCAGGGAAAACACCCAAAATCCAGGGAAAACACCAGGAATTCCGGGGGAAACACCCAAAATCCAGGGAAAACACCAGGAATTCCGGGAAAAACACCCAAAATCCAGGGGAAACAAACACCCGGAATTCCGGGGAAAACACCCCAAAATCCAGGGGAAACAAACACCCGGAATTCCAGGGAAAACACCCAAAATCCAGGGAAAACACCCGGAATTCCGGGGGAAACACCCCAAATCCAGGGGAAACACCCGGAATTCCAGGGGAAACACCCAAAATCCAGGGGAAACACCCGGAATTCTGGGGAAAACACCCCAAATCCAGGGAAAACACCCGGAATTCCAGGGGAAACACCCCAAATCCAGGGGAAACACCCAGAATTCCGGGAAAAACACCCAAAATCCAGGGAAAACACCCGGAATTCCGGGAAAAACACCCAAAATCCAGGGAAAACACCCCAAAATCCAGGGGAAACACCCCAAATCCAGGGAAAACAGCCGGAATTCCAGGGAAAACACCCCAAAATCCAGGGAAAACACCCGGAATTCCAGGTAAACACCCGGAATTCCAGGGAAACACCCAAAATCCAGGGAAAACACCCGGAATTCCAGGGAAACACCCGGAATTCCAGGGAAACACCCAAAATCCAGGGAAAACAGCCGGAATTCCAGGGGAAACATCCAAAATCCAGGGAAAACACCCCAAAATCCAGGGGAAACACCCGGAATTCCAGGGGAAACACCCAAAATCCAGGGAAAACACCCGGAATTCCAGGGGAAACACCCAAAATCCAGGGAAAACAGCCGGAATTTTTCCCAGAAAACCGCATTTTTCCACGGCAAACCCCACGACTCCCACATCCAGGGGGGCGTTCCCGAGTTTTTTTTCCATGGAAAACTGGGAATACCCGGAATTGTGTGACCAGGGGGGCGTTCCCGAGCGGGATTTTCCATGGAAAACTGGGAGATTCCATGGAAAAATGGGTGATTCCCATGGAAAAATGGGAGATTCCCATGGAAAAATGTGGGATTTTCATGGAAAAATGGGATTTTTCATGGAAAACCGTGGGAGATCCTCATGGAAAAATGGGTGATTCTCATGGAAAAACGGGATTTTGTCCCGGAAAACCGCATTTTTCCATGGCAAACCGTGCAATTCCTATGGAAAAATGGGAGATTCTCATGGAAAATTGGGTGATTTTCATGGAAAATTGGGTGATTTTCATGGAAAAATGGGTGATTTTCGTGAAAAAATGGGATTTTTCATGGAAAACCGTGGGAGATTCTCATGGAAAATTGGGTGATTTTCATGGAAAAATGGGAGATTCCATGGAAAACCGTGCGATTTCCATGGAAAAACGGGATTTTTTCCCAGAAAACCGCATTTTTCCATGGAAAACCTTGTGATTTCCATGGAAAAACGGGATTTTTTCCCAGAAAACCGCATTTTTCCACGGCAAACCCCACGACTCCCACATCCAGGGGGGCATTCCCGAGTGGGATTTTCCACGGAAAACTGGGAATACCCGGAACTGCGCCGCCAGGGGGTTGGGGCTGCGCTCCAGGGCGGAGCTGTCCAGGCGCCGCTGGTGCTCCCGGAGCCGCCGGCGATTCTCGGCGCCGCGAACGGCTTCGTTGACGAAGCGCAGCACGGCACGGCTCTGCTCGCGGGCACGGAGCAGCTTCTCCCGCTCCGGGGAACCCGCTGCGGAGAGAGGGGAGTCCATGGGGAAATCCAGGGGGAATCCAGGGGGGAAATAATGGGGAAAAAATGGGGAAATAATGGGGGAAATCAGGGAAAATAAATGGGGAAATTCAGGGGAAAAAATGGGGAAAATCAGGGGAAATTCAGGGAAAAAATGGGGAAAATCAATGGGGAAAATCAGGGGAAAAAATGGGAAAATCAGGGGAAATATTGGGAAAAAAATGGGGAAAATTGGGGGAAAATCAGGGGAAATTCAGGGAAAAAATGTGGAAAAAATGGGGAAAAATGGGGAAAATCAGGGGAAAAAATGGGGAAAATCAGGGGAAAATCAGGGGAAATAAATGGGGAAATATGGGTGAATTATGGGGGAGATCAATGGGAATATGGGATGGCTGGAACAGCTTCTCCCGCTCCGGGGAACCCGCGGGGGAGAGAGGGGAGTCCATGGGGAAATCCAGGGGGAATCCAGGGGGGAAATAATGGGGAAAAATGGGGAAATTATGGGGAAAAAATGGGGAAATAAATGGGGAAAAAATGGGGAAAATCAGGGGGAAAAATGGGGAAAAAATGGGGAAAATCAGGGGAAATTCAGGGGAAATTCAGGGGAAAATCAGGGGAAAAAATGGGGAAAATCAGGGGGGAAAAATGGGGAAAATCAGGGGAAATTCAGGGAAAAAATGGGGAAATTATGGGGAAAAAATGGGGAAATAAATGGGGAAAAAATGGGGAAATTCAGGGAAAAAAATGGGGAAAAAATGGGGAAATTCAGGGAAAAAAAGGGGAAAAAATGGGGAAAATCAGGGGAAAAATGGGGAAAAAACTGGGGAAAAAATAGGGAAAATCAGGGGAAATATTGGGAAAAAAATGGGGAAAATCAGGGAAAAAAATGGGAAAAAAATGGGGAAAATCAATGGGGAAAATCAGGGGAAAAATGGGGAAAAAATGGGGAAAAAATGGGGAAAAAAAATGGGGAAAAAATGGGGAAAATCAGGGGAAATAAATGGGGAAAATCAGGGGAAATTCAGGGGAAATAAATGGGGAAAATCAGGGGAAAAAATGGGGAAAAAATGGGGAAAAATGGGAAAAAATGGGGAAAATCAGGGGAATTATGGGGGAAATCAATGGGAATATGGGATGGCTGGAACAGCTTCTCCCGCTCCGGGGAACCCGCTGCGGAGAGAGGGGAGTCCATGGGGAAATACAGGGGGAATCCAGGGGGGAAATAATGGGGAAAAAATGGGGAAATAATGGGGAAAAATGGGGGAAATCAGGGAAAATAAATGGGGAAAATCAGGGGAAAAAATGGGGAAAATCAGGGGAAAATCAGGGGAAATAAATGGGGAAAAAATGGGGAAATTCAGGGGAAAAAATGGGGAAAATCAGGGGAAATAAATGGGGAAATATGGGGGAATTATGGGGGAAATCAATGGGACCATGGGGTGGCTGGAGCAGCTTCTCCCGCTCCGGGGAACCCGCTGCGGAGAGAGGGGAGTCCATGGGGAAATCCAGGGGGAATCCAGGGGGGAAATAATGGGGAAAAATGGGGAAAAAATGGGGAAAAAATGGGGAAATAATGGGGAAAAATGGGGAAAAATGGGGGAATTATGGGGAAAAATGGGGAAAAAATGGGGAAAAAATGGGGAAAAAATGGGGAAAATCAGGGGAAAAAATGGGGAAAATCAGGGGAAATTCAGGGGAAAAATGGGGAAAATCAGGGGAAAATCAGGGGAAATAAATGGGGAAAAATGGGGAAAATCAGGGGAAATTCAGGGAAAAAAATGGGGAAAATTCAGGGGAAATTCAGGGGAAATTCAGGGAAAAATCAGGGGAAAAAATGGGGAAAATCAGGGGAAAATCAGGGGAAAAAATGGGGAAAATCAGGGGAAATTCAGGGAAAAAATGGGGAAAATAAATGGGGAAAATCAGGGGAAAAAATGGGGAAAATCAGGGGAAAATCAGGGAAAAAAATGGAGAAAAAATGGGGGAAAAATGGGGAAAATCAGGGGAAATAAATGGGGAAAATCAGGGGAAAATCAGGGAAAAAATGGGGAAAATCAGGGGAAAATCAGGGCAAAAAATGGGAAAATCAGGGGAAATATTGGGAAAAAAATGGGGAAAATTGGGGGAAAATCAGGGGAAATTCAGGGAAAAAATGTGGAAAAAATGGGGAAAAATGGGGAAAAAATGGGGAAAATCAGGGGAAAATCAGGGGAAAAAATGGGGAAAATCAGGGGAAAATCAGGGGAAAAAATGGGGAAAATCAGGGGAAATTCAGGGGAAAAATGGGGGAAAAATGGGGAAATTCAGGGAAAAAAAGGGGAAAAAATGGGGAAAATCAGGGGAAAATCAGGGGAAATAAATGGGGAAAATTAGGGGAAATTCAGGGGAAATTCAGGGGAAAATCAGGGGAAAAAATGGGGAAAATCAGGGGAAATTCAGGGGAAATAAATGGGGAAATATGGGGGAATTATGGGGGAAATCAATGGGACCATGGGATGGCTGGAGCAGCTTCTCCCGCTCCGGGGAACCCGCTGCGGAGAGAGGGGAGTCCATGGGGAAATCCAGGGGGAATCCGGGGGGAAATAATGGGGAAATAATGGGGAAAATCAGGGGGAAAAAATGGGGAAAAAATGGGGAAAAAATGGGAAATAATGGGGAAAAAATGGGGAAATAATGGGGGAAATCAGGGAAAATAAATGGGGAAATTCAGGGGAAAAAATGGGGAAAATCAGGGGAAATTCAGGGAAAAAATGGGGAAAATAAATGGGGAAAATCAGGGGAAAAAATGGGAAAATCAGGGGAAATACTGGGAAAAAAATGGGGAAAATTGGGGGAAAATCAGGGGAAATTCAGGGAAAAAATGGGGAAAAAATGGGGAAAAAATGGGGAAATTCAGGGGAAATAAATGGGGAAAATCAGGGGAAAATCAAGGGAAAATCAGGGGAAAATCAGGGGAAATAAATGGGGAAAAATGGGGAAAATCAGGGGAAATTCAGGGAAAAAAATGGGGAAAATTAGGGGAAATTCAGGGGAAATTCAGGGAAAAATCAGGGGAAAAAATGGGGAAAAAATGGGGGAATTATGGGGAAAAAATGGGGAAAATCAGGGGAAAAAATGGGGAAAATCAGGGGAAATCAGGGGAAAATCAGGGAAAAAAATGGGGAAAATTAGGGGAAATTCAGGGGAAATTCAGGGAAAAATCAGGGGAAAAAATGGGGAAATTCAGGGGAAATAAATGGGGGAATTATGGGGAAAAAATGGGGAAAAAATGGGGAAAATCAGGGGAAATATTGGGAAAAAATGGGGAAAATCAGGGAAAAAAATGGGGAAAATCAGGGGAAAAAATGGGGAAAAAATGGGGAAAATCAGGGGAAAATCAGGGGAAATAAATGGGGAAAAATGGGGGAATTATGGGGGAAATCAATGGGACCATGGGATGGCTGGAACAGCTTCTCCCGCTCCGGGGAACCCGCTGCGGAGAGAGGGGAGTCCATGGGGAAATACAGGGGGAATCCAGGGGGGAAATAATGGGGAAAAAATGGGGAAAAAAGGGGGAAAAATGGGGAAAAAATGGGGAAAATCAGGGGAAAAAATGGGGAAAATCAGGGGAAATTCAGGGGAAAATCAGGGGAAATTCAGGGGAAAATCAGGGGAAATATGGGGGAATTATGGGGGAAATCAATGGGAATATGGGATGGCTGGAGCAGCTTCTCCCGCTCCGGGGAGCCCGCTGGGACAGCAGGAATCTGGGGAAGGGATCCCAGGGAGGGATCCAGGGAGGGATCCCAGAACAGATCCCAAGGACCGGAGGGATCCCAGGGACAGGAACGGATCCCAGGGACAGGAACAGATCCCAGAGTGGATCCCAGGATCTCTCACCGAGGCTGAGTCGGATCAGGCTCTCCAGCAGCAGCAGGGATTTGCTGAGCCGGGGGCAGGAACCCGGGAACAGGAGGGATCCCGGGGACAGGATGGATCCAGGGGTGGATCCCAGGGACAGGAACGGATCCCAGGGGTGGATCCCTGGATCCCAGGATCTCTCACCGAGGCTGAGTCGGATCAGGCTCTCCAGCAGCAGCGGGGATTTGCTGAGCCGGGGGGGCAGGAACCCGGGGATGGATCCCAGGGAGGGATCCAGGGAGGGATCCCAGGGACAGGGAGGGATCCCAGGGATGGATCCCAGAACAGATCCCAGGATCTCTCACCGAGGCTCAGGCGGATCAGGCTCTCCAGCAGCAGGGGGTATTTGCTGAGCCGGGGGGGCAGGAACCCGGGGACAGGAGGGATCCCAGGGACAGGAGGGATCCCAGAGTGGATCCCAGGGATGGATCCCAGGGATGGATCCAGGATCTCTCACCGAGGCTGAGGCGGATCAGGCTCTCCAGCAGCAGCGGGTATTTGCTGAGCCGCTGCGTCTCCGCCACCAACAAATCCTTCAGCTGCAGCCGCCGGCACTGCGGGTGGCTCTCGGCCTCCTGAAAATCCCCAAATCCCCAAATTCCCAAATTCCCAATTCCCAAAATCCCCAATCCAACAATTCCCAAAATCCCAAATCCAACAATTCCCAAATTCCCACAATTCCCAATTTCCCCATTCCCAAATCCCCGCCGGCACTGCGGGTGGCTCTCGGCCTCCTGAAAATCCCCAAATCCCCAAATCCCCAAATCAAACAATTCCCAAAATCCAACAATTCCCATTTCCCAAATTCCCACAATTCCCAAATTCCCAAATCCAACAATTCCCACAATTCCCAAATCCCCAATTCCAACAATTCCCAAATTCCCCAATTTCCCCATTCCCAAATCCCCGCCGGCACTGCGGGTGGCTCTCGGCCTCCTGCAAATCCTCAAATCCAACAATTCCCAACAATTCCCAAATTCCCAATTCCCCAATTCCCAAATTCCCAAATCCCAAATTCCCACAATTCCCAATTCCAACAATTCCCAAATTCCCAAATTCCCAAATCCCCAAATCCAACAATTCCCAATTCCCCAAATTCCCAAATTCCCACAGTTCCCAAAATCCCAGTTCCAACAATTCCCAAATTCCCAAATCCCCAATTCCCAAATTCCCAAATCAAACAATTCCCAAATTCCCAAATTCCTAATTCCAACAATTCCCAAATTCCCAAATTCCCAATTTCCCAATTCCCAATTCCAACAATTCCCAAATTCCCAAATTCCCAATTCCAACAATTCCCAAATTCCCAAATCCCCAATTCCCAAATTCCCAAATTCCTAATTCCAACAATTCCCAAATCCCCAATTCCAACAATTCCCAATTCCCAAATTCCCAATTTCCCAATTCCCAATTCCAACAATTCCCAAATTCCCAAATCCCCAATTCCCAATTCCAACAATTCCTCAAATCCCAATCCCACCAATCCCCAAATTCCCAATCCCACCAATCCCCCACCTCCCAAATAATTCCCAAATTCCCGACCCCAACTTGTTCCCAGGATCCCGAAATTCCAGACCCCGAGGATTCCCAAAAATGGGGAAAAGAAGAGGGAAAAATTGGGGGGAAAAAATGGGGAAAAGGAAAAATGGGGAAAAATTGGGGGGAAAAAATGGGGAAAAGGAAAAATTGGGAAAAATGGGAAAAAAAATGGGAAAAAATGGGAAAAAAAGGGGGAAAAGAGGGGGAAAAAAGGGGAAAAAAAGGGGGGGAAAATGGGAAAAATAGGGAAAAAGGGAGAAAATGGGGAAAAATGGGAAAAAAGGGGAGAAAAGGGGGAAAAAAAGGGGAAAAAATTAAGGAAAAAAGGAGGATAAAAGGGGGAAAAAAGGGAGAAAAAAGGGAAAATTGGGGAAAAAGGGAGAAAATGGGGAAAAATGGGAAAGAGAGGAGGAAAAAATGGGAAAAAAAGGGGGGAAAATGGGAAAAAAAAGGGGAAAAATGGGAAAAAAGAGGAAAAAAAAGGGAAAAAAGGAGGATAAAAGGGGGAAAAAAGAGGGAAAAAAGGGAAAAATGGGGAAAAAGGGAGAAAATGGGGAAAAATGGGAAAAAAAGGGGGAAAAATGGGAAAAAAAGGAAAAAAAGGGAAAAAAAAGGGGAAAATGGGGAAGAAGAGGAGAAAATGGGAAAAAAAGGGGGGGAAATGGGAAAAAAAGGGGGGAAAAGGGAAAAATAGGGAAAAAGGGGGAAAATGGGGAAAAATGGGAAAAAATGGGAAAAAAGGGGAAAAAAGGGGGAAAAAAAGAGAAAAAATTAAGGAAAAAAAGAGGATAAAAGGGGGAAAAAAGGGAAAAATGGAGGAAAAGGAAGAAAATGGGGAAAAATGGGAAAAAAAAGGGGAAAAATGGGAAAAAAAGGGGGAAAAATGGGAAAAAAAAGGGGAAAAAATGGGAAAAAAAGGGGAAAAAATGGGAAAAAAAAGGGGGAAAAAATGGGAAAAAAGGAAGATAAAAGGGGGAAAAAAGGGGGAAAAAAGGGAAAAATGGAGGAAAAGGGAGAAAATGGGGAAAAATGGGAAAGAAAGGGGAAAAATGGGAAAAAAAGGGGGAAAAATGGGAAAAAAAGGGGGAAAAATGGGAAAAAAGAGGAAAAAAAAGAGGATAAAATGGGGAAAAAAGGGGGAAAAAAAGGGGGGAAAATGGGAAAAAAAAAGGGGGAAAATGGGAAAAAAAGGGGAGAAAAGGGGGAA